CTCCTAGAGGTTAGCATCAGCCATGCTGATGGAAGTTAAAAAGGGTTCTTTCAGACAATTATCAAGAGATTGTAGGTCATTTTTTTAGATCAGCTGCCAAGTGACCTTATCGAACGCATGAGACTTGCTATTAAGACAGGAGTAAATAATGTCATCAGCATCTATACTGAGTTAGAAATTGATGACATTAGGAAAATCATGTAAGAAAATAAGGAACAACGTAAAAACAAGGATAAAGCCCTGGGGGGGCACCTGCATTAAGGGAAAAAGATCTAGAAGAGTGGCCATTCAAGACAACTTTCATTTCGCGATTTGATAAGAAATACTGAATCAGTTAAAATATATATTTCGATATTATTTTTGGAATATTTAAATCCAATAAAACAAGTGACGAGAAACAAAACCCATTTAAATATTTGTCCCATTCAAAATAAATGCGTAAATAAATTGAATATTTTTAAAAGTCCTCTGTATTAATTCTTATTAAACGTATTTATTTAATATTCATATTTTTTTATATATACTTTATTTCCGTTACCCGAAGAGAAAAACAATCAACTTCCTGCTTTTCACTGATTTCAACATTAAATAATCCTCTTAAACAAGCCAACAGATTTGTCAATCTTTTATTATCGTACATAAGCAATAATCAATTTAAATTAACAGGTGTATTTTTAAAGAAAAGTATCATTCCGACGTAAAAGTTATCTCCCTTTAATTTACTACGCTTTGATTTTTCAGTGAAGTGACCCATTCGACAAAGTGAAGATTCGATTTAACGCTTTCAGTGTAGCTAGTTTTCGGACAAATTGCATTCAATTTTATAAATCGGACCGATTGCAGTTGATGCTGTTGCTACAATACAAGCAATATTTCAATTACCCTATAATTTAACCTATAAGGTGACATTCTACAATGAAAATGGCTACATGCAACCGTAAGTTCTATGCTAACAGTTTCTTCTTTCGTACTTCTCATTTGTGGCACAGTCTTCCGGTTTTTAAATTTAAATACAATACCAACGGTTATCATATCTTCTTGATTCTTGTTCTTTTATTATCCGCTATTTCTGTTACACTCATTAAAATATTGCGTTTTACCGGCTTTATTTCCTTTCTTAGGGGAAATTGATTAAAAATGCTCGGCTATTATTGCCGAAAACGTAAAAAGAATTATCGTAACAATATACCGGAGCTTAAGGTCACATCACCTTGAAACACCGATTCCCATCTGATCAACGTCGAGCCTGGTCAGTATCTAGATAGGTGACCGCTTGGGAAACCCAGGTGTTTAGATGTGCCGATGAGGTAATGAATAATGCCTTGGAATTCATTCCAGTTTCATTATGGCTTATGTTCACTTATACGTGAATAACTTTGAGAATGGTATCACTCCATCTCTTCTCTTCCAGCCATGGGTTAATTACTAAAACTTGTATTACTAAAACCATTATTATGCAAGAATAAAATAAAATAAAATTGCGTACAAAATATTTAGATTTCGGCTTTAAATAATCCATTGAGGGAAGGATGGCCAACCTGTTGCGCATGCGCCATGTGGTGCATTGGATGCTTACAAGTAGCGGATTGCATCCTTTTGATGAAAAGAAACTAAGCCAATATCTGAAGAGAAAAAAAAAAGTCAAAGCATTGACTGATGGCCCTTCCCCTTTCAAAACTCCTGGATATGCCCCTGTAACAGTCCAAGTTGAAGTCATTAATAAATATTCCCATGTCTAGTCTATTGCGGGTTGTATGATCATTGTTCATATGAAGGAAAAACAAAAGAAATTTTTATCAATCATTATTTCTAGCATAAAAAACATTTGGATTTACATTTAATCCATTTTCTTCTCCTTTCCATTTTCCTTGTGAATGAGTTGCTTATTTTTGCCACTTTTAGCCTCCTCAACCTTCCACATTGTAAGTAAATCGTATGCCATAGAAACAAAGTTCAAATCAGAGTCATGGTGTTACAGCAATGATGGCCAACCTGTGGCGCATGCGCCATAAGTGGCGCATTGGATGCTTACAAGTGGCGCATTGCATCCTTTTGATGAAAAGAAACTAAGCCACTTCTACTCATTCATTTCAGTGATTTTATATTTATTGCACGTCCTTTGCGAAAGTGCTAAAAGTTTGATTTGTGTTTGTCCCATTTCTTTTTGTTAAAAATACTAACGTGGTCCTTTTGGTTGACTGAGTGCTTAACTAACTGGTAGACTGGATTGTGTTCTAAAATGCTTCTCATTCTTTATCACTGCATTGGAGAGAGCGTTTGTGTCTGGATTTTTTTAAATTAAGGTAAGAATAATTTCATGATTTACATTTCGCTGAATCGTAGCTTCAATATTATGAGTGCCTATACTAATTAGAGTCCGCATTATACCAGCTTTGTAATGTTGAGAGATTTATGACTGACATTATGATTAGGCCTACATGTAAATTGTGTATAATATATATAATGTGAAGCTAGTAGAAATTCTATGACTATAATTAATTACACATAGCTTTTAAGTGCATTAACATTAGGAATATGTATAAACGTCAATTTATTTTATCTGCAGTCAAAAACTGTTCAAAATCTGTTGAACTGCTGTTAATCTGTTGATCCGGTGTTGATTGATTAGATTTGATTATAACTTTAAAATATGTCCATATTACAACACGTACTGAAAGGAAGTGAATGTTTGTGTGGCGCATTTAAATTAATCGTACGAAATATTGGCGCATGGAATCAAAAGGTTGGCCACCCCTGCATTGAGGCTGGTATGGCGTTAAACAAAAACAACCAACAAAATACCAATGCAACTTATATATGTCATTAAACAGCTGGAAACTACAGAAAGTAAAAGAAGATGGAACTGAAAGAATATACTTTTAGTAGTAAACGTTTACCAGAGAAGCGAGATATTAAAGTCGCAGAGAAATATGGCCGTCATGGGAAGTAGCCAAATAAAAACAAATAACGAATGAGTGGGTGTGTTTAAATGTGGGGAATGTATTCATTAGGGCAGTTTGCTGCTGGCAGATATGACAGCAACATTTCAGGTTAGGTGGTTGCTGAATTTTACCCTGAAGAATATAGTTACCGGGAATAAGTGATTGTTAAACTCTTCGCTAGAAAGTACAGCAGAAAGATTATTCTATGGACCAAACGAACAGAGAGTCAGAGAGTTTTTCTTTGTGTAGTGACTCTTCAATACGTAGACAGTTATGGTTCTCCACAACTTCCTGTCTCTTTTAGCGCTTTAAATATCTGTCTTTTTAGTGTCTCTCCAAAACCCTGTTCTGACAGCCATTTACACAAGATTACGCGCAGGTTTCTTTCATCCCTCTTGCATTGAACACGTCCTGTGAATATTAAGTTTTCTCAACCTCTTTCTTCATTATGTGCCTGAGAAATGTCAATTTTCTCTTTCTGATTCTGAGTATAAATGCTTTTTTTTGTTTTCTCTAAAAGTTCGTCCCATATTCAGTTCCTAGTGTTCTCTGCATCCTTTTTTTTTTTAGAACAACATTTCTGTTTTCACGTGTCTTTTCTTCATCTGTGATAATGTAGGACAATAATAGTCACCGG